AAAACGACCAGCATTATCGAGGGATAGGATTTGGAGTTTGAAAACCATATTTCTAAGGAGGCTTCTGTGAGCTCTCTAGGGACCTGGAAATGGTCCAGTTTGGCTTTTTAGAGAATAATTTAATTTAATTCCACACAGTTTTTTTTGGGGTTTTTTTTTTTGAGCCTCTATCATATGCTGGCTTAGCACATGGCCCTGACCTCTAGTGGCTAAAGGTCTTACATGTCCAACAAAAAGCAGTGTCCAGTCTAGTGCTGGGTTAAGGATTATCTTCAGGAATAAAGATCTATAAAGCACCTACTGTGTACCAGGGTTTTAAAGGAAGTAAACGAGAGCATGTATGTCAGGAGTCATAAATTCCAAAACCCACAGGGGCCAGGCCAGTAGCACAAATGAGTGAAGTAGGCAAGGCAGACAGTAGGGAATGGTGGGGTCTGTGGTGAACCAGAGAGCACATGGCTTGTTTACAGGGGACAGCTGCTTCCCTGCTTCTGATGACTGCTCCTGTGAGAGCAGTGTCCAGTGTTGCTGGATGTTCTGACTCTTTTAAAAAGGAAGCAAAAAACCTGTATTTTCACATGAAATTTCCAGATGTTTACACGTTGGCAACTTTTTCAGGATTCAAAACAAAACAAAAAAACTTGTGTGAGCCAAATCGAACCTGTCTGTGGGCCAATAGAAGGAGTAGCCACCTGGTTGGTTGCCTCTGGTATGCGGAAAGTGCTTAGTTTGGCGATTGTGCTCAGTGGAGTACTGTTATTTATATTACTAATAGCATATATTATATTACCTAGCTTCATCCTCACCGCAAGCCCTAAGAGAGCTTACTTCCACAGCCATTTCCCTTTCTCCAGCCTCAGAGGGATCCTCCCTGGTTTAAGAGCGTCTTCCCTATGGCGGGCAGACTTTCAGAGCTCCCAAGAACCTTCCATGTGCCAGAATGTCTGAGGACGGGGTGGTCACAGCCTTTCGTCTTTCTTGTCTCAGGTTACAGCTACTTCTTCACGGGTCCATATTACCTGAAGTTGGATAACCAAAGCCTGAAGAGCGTGAAGTTTGGAGGCATCAGATCCGACTGGCTGGGCTGCTGAGCTGTCCCCAGCTCCCACAGGCCCTGCCTCTCCGTCACTTCTGCGCACTGGGCCCTGAGCATCAGGGAAGGGCCTGGCAGCCTTCAGCTCTGTGGTTAATCAGCATTCCTAGCCCCCACCTGGTAATTTAAGATTCTGGAGAGTGGCTCTGCCCTGTGCCCAAGGAAAGGTGCTGACTGTACCCCTCCCAGGTGCCCCTCCCCCTGTCCATGTCCCACTAGCCCGCCAGAGCCACCTCCAAAGAGATGCTTTGAAATCCTCCATGCGGCCCTGCCATGGGCTGCCCTGGTGCTGTCATACTTCAGGCTCCTCTCCCTCCACAACCTTCTGTGGCTTACAACACCCTCAGAGCCAACAGAGACTGTCTCCCGAGGGCACTGGTGGCCCCACAGCCTGGCCTGGGGCCGTGGAAGAGAGGCATGGCCAGAAGGCCACCCAGACGCCTGGTTTCTTACTGCTGGCTGCCTTAGAACCTTGCCTACATTAGCAGTCTGCTTTGTATGCACTTTGTTCTTTTATTTTGATCGTTTTTATTTTTCCACTTTGAAACTACGTTTCCTGACAGAAGGTTTCAGGCTGTCTGAAGTCACTACACGATGCATCTCAGCCCACCTAGCAATGGTTCCCTTGTTCACTCTGTTTAGTATGCTCCTGCCCCGTCACTTCCTCCACTGGATGGAGGAAAACCAAGCCATGGTTTCTCGCTCAGCCCTCCCCTCCTCGCCCTTCAACAGTTCCCCATGGGAAATGTCAACAGATATGAATAAAAACACCAGTTGAGTGGCAGTGTTTGCCTCTGTTTTTGCAGAGCGTAGAGAGAGGGGCCACAGCCCCAGCCAGGAGAGAAAACTTATAAAGTCTAAATCTCTGCTCACTGCAGGGCACAGGTGACATTTGCTGAAAAGGTTAGAACAGCCAAAATAAACAGCAACAGACCCTCAGAGGGGATGAGCTGGAGTCTCTCTGTCCTATGGAAAGAGCCTGTTACTGTAATTGCAGCGTCTTGTTCAAGGTTCCCTTTTTCTTTGA